CCATCCATCCATCATCCATCCTTCATCCATCCATCCATCTTGCATTCATCCATCTTCCATCCATCTTTCCTGTATCTATCCATCTATCCATCCTCTAACCATCAATACATCCATCCTCTATCCATGCATCCATCCAGTATCCATCCTCTATCCATCCATCTGTCCATCAATCCATTTAATAATAAATCATTAATCTGGAATCTAGTCATGCACAAAAAATTATTCGTTTCCTACTTTGGACACATCGGGGAATGTCGTATCAGATTGGACCAGACGTCACTGCCGCAAGACATATGTCGTAATCTTCATCCCCTGTATTTTTCGTAATATTTTTAAATCACATTTCTAATCAGCACTTTCCTAGAGAATCAAACAACAACATTTGCATGCACCACAGAATGGAGGGCTGGGAAATGCAAGTGGGCAAGAGAAAGTAACACGCGGGACCGGATTGGGCTGTTGGCTTCTAAATAAAGCGAGATTTTATGCTGACAGAAATTTGCAGCTTGGCTGTGTCTGCTTTGACCAATGGCTCTGCATCCGCCTTGACTAAATATCCAGTAGGCACTTCCTCATTATCAGCTAAAATTCCTCCTTAGTGGGCTGAAGTGATTTAAGTAGTACATTGCCCAACATTATAGAACTTCAAATTTCTGGCCAATGGGCCTCGTTTCTTGCTGAATTTGCAGATCAGTAAGCTAATATCTCTCAGATTACTCATTTGCATGGGTTTTTCTGGTGAGGAAATCACCTTTCACACAAAAAGTTCGGCAAGTCTATTGGCAGTGGGGAATTAAGGTTAAATTATGCAGGAGGTTGAAAATACCAAAGAAGTGTTCCTTTTTAATTACCGAAAAATGCAGTTATTTCCATAATTTTTAATGAAAGATTTCTTTTTGGCAATTTAATAGGAAAAAATTTGCACGCAACTAGAAGGCTTCAATCATGCGGGCCACACATAGAGACCTAAATATCTTCCCAAATTTTCACACTTATTATTCTACGTTAAGCCTTCTTGTAAAAAGTGGTGAATTTATTCTCAAAGATGGTAGTTT